CTCCTTCCTCTTCCTCCTCCCTTTCCTTCCTCCTCTCCCCCGCCGCCTGCAGCCCGAGAGGAGATGAGAAGCCCTTGTAGTTTTAAATTCAATGTGACAGTTTCGGAAAGAGCGGATGATGAATCTCCTATTATTGGATCAGTCTATTTGCCGCTCAATGTCTCTCTGTAATTGGAGCAACATCACTTTAAAGGTTCAGAGAGTACAGCATTTCTGGTGAAAAATCCCCACAACACGCCGGTGAATGTTTTAAAGGGAAATCTATTAGTGATTTGCAGAGGGGCGGGGAGCCGGGGGAGGCGCGGGCTCCGGCCAGCGGGGATTGGAGTGGGGGGCTCGCCGGGGACCCCTGCCTGGACCGCTCCCCGAGCCCGCGCCTGCCCAGCGCCGGGCCGCGCCCCTCCCTCTCTGCTCCCCCCCCCTTGTTGTGACAGTTCCTGATACTGTTTATTGAGGTGCATGTCAGGTATAATTAGCAATCGATATGGAAAACGTTTCCTTGCACCCAGCACGCCTCTGACGTCAGAGCCGATTAGCGCTTCTTATTGGTCCCAAATTCCCCGGGCCGCGGCTAATTATCGGGAGCTTGATGTTGATAAAGTAAAGCGCCGGAGTGCGGGCGAAGCATGTGTAGGGCTCCGGGTCCCTGTCTCCGCCGCCGCCGCCGTCCGCGCCTCCCGCCGCTGGCCCGCCCCGGCCCCGGCCCGCGCCCCCGCGCCCCGCCGCCGGCCCCGCCGGCCCCCCGCGCGAGATGATGGACGGCCGCCTCCTGGAGCACCCGCATGCCCAGTTCGGGGGCTCGCTGGGCGGCGTGGTGGGCTTCCCCTACCCGCTGGGCCACCACCACGTGTACGAGCTGGCCGGCCACCAGCTGCAGTCGGCCGCCGCCGCCGCCGCGGCCGCCTCGGTGCCCTTCTCCATCGACGGCCTGCTCAGCGGCTCATGCGCCGCCGCCGCCGCCTCGGTGGTCAACCCCACGCCGCTGCTGCCGGCCGCCTGCGGGGTGGGAGGCGACAGCCAGCCCTTCAAGCTGTCAGGTAGGTGCGACGGGCGGGGAGGGCACGGGGGGCGAGCAGGGCACCCTTGTCGGGCGCGGGAGTTGGGTCGCGGGCGGCTGTAGAGCGGGCGCCGTCTGCCGGGGCTCAGGGCGCTCTCGGTCCGCCACCCCGGCGCAGGGCCCCCAGGCCCGGGCGGCCGACAGGTACGGAGGGGGTGGATGTGGCCTGGGCCCTGGCTGAGCCGTGCGGCGTCCTGTGCGTGCCCGCAGACTCGGGGGACCCCGACAAGGAGAGCCCGGGCTGCAAGCGGCGGCGCACCCGCACCAACTTCACGGGCTGGCAGCTGGAAGAGCTGGAGAAGGCGTTCAACGAGAGCCACTATCCCGACGTGTTCATGCGCGAGGCGCTGGCGCTGCGCCTGGATCTGGTCGAATCCCGCGTGCAGGTAAAGACCCGCCGTCCCTCCCGGGAACCAGCATCCTGCCACTAGGCCTGCCCGGCGCCGGCCTCGCCTTTGTTCTAGGTGGGGGACCGCGGCCCCGCTTCCGAGCCTCCCCAGCTCTCGCCTGCCCGGAGGTGGTGCTGCGGATCCGGGGCTCAGAGCCTCGCGGGGAGAAAGCCCCAGGCGGCTTGGGAGGGGCCGACGACGGCCCAAAGTAGCCAGAAGAGCAGCTGCGTCCGAACCGGGTGCTGCGTGGTGGGGGTCCGGCGACGAAATGGGCGCGAAATGAGGTCTCCGAGGGCTGGGCGGGAGAAGCGGCGGTGAGGGGGGGGGGGGGGAGCCAGCCGGGCTAGGATCTGGAAGAAACCCGGAGCAGGTAGACCCCGCGCCTCCTGGCCCTCGCCCGGGGTGTCCGGGCACCGGCCTGGAGCAAACCCGTTTGTTTGCTTATCTCTCGCCTCTAAAATATTCAGGTGGAGACCTGTATTTATTCTTCGCTTTGCAGGAGGTTAGCTGAGGAAGGGGAGGCGGAAACTTACACAGTTGACACATGTGGGGGGGTCTGGACCTTTACTACTCTCAGTTTTATCTCCCCCCCCCCCCATACTTCGATTTCATTCGGAGACTGCCCGCGTTATTCTTTTTAAAAATACAGCGTCTATGTGGTGGATTAAAAATTCAAGATGAATTGTGCATAATCAGATGTTTCCCCGAAATATAGAAATCTTTTCTGGGGTCGGTGTGGTGGTGAGTGGGGTGTGCGGCTGCAGCTGTGAGTGCAGGGCTTCGAGGCAGAGGACGGCAAGACGCCTGTTTAGCACCAATAGCTTTGTCTAAAAAGGTGTTCTCGACCTGTGCTTGCACTGCCCCTCATGACCTCTTCTGTTTGTAAATCCTTTCGTCTAATTTGTGTAAGTGTCTTAAGCAAAGACCTCTTCGTTTCTCCCCTGTACAATAATGAGCATTTCTTGGTGACAAGTGAGCATGGAATTTGCACCAAAAAAAAAGAAGTATTGGAAGGAAGGAAGGAAGGAAGGAAAGAAGCAGTTGCAGCCTTGGTGAGGTTACAGCTTAAAACACGCACCTTGGCACCAGCAAGGCTCCCTGGGACTGGGCCGGGCCTGCTATTGTGCGGGGGTCTCTCCGTGGTCACAACAAAGAATTCGAATTATTGCAATCTCTTGGGGAGGGTGGTGTGCCTGAGGCTCAGCAGGGATTTGACTGTGTGTGTGGTGGGGAGCCAGTGTCTAGGGCTGCTGTTCCCCAGGTCAAGGGCTGCAGGGAGGGTACAAGAGGCTGGATGGGCCCAGGCCTCCTCTGCACCGCCTGGCAACTGGCCTCTTGCTTTCCTGTCTGCCTTGCTCCCTGGCCTAGGCCAAGCACAACTGGTTTCAGGGGCTGTGTTGGTGTGTTGGCCTGGAGTCCCCAGAAAGAAGGACGTGTGTGAATGTGTTGGGGGGCAGGCTGCTGGAAACCCTCCCCCTAAGTTTGGCTTCCCAGGACCTTCTAGAAGAAGCAGCACTCAGATTTCCCTTCACGGGACACCCCCAAATCTGGCCTTTGACTCAGTCTCCAGGGGGCCGAAGACAGGTGTGGAGGGCAGCTGAGCCCAGCCACTGGTGGTCCTCAGGCCAGACGGCCAGCACCAGGCCAGGCAGGCCGCTTAGAACAGAAGCTGTGAGAAGCCAAGAGGGGCGAGGAGGGGCCCTGCTCCCAGCCTGCCTCCCGACCAGGAACCAGACGCCCTCAGGGGCCAGACCTGCAGTGCCCAACGAAGGGGCAGCTCCCAGTTCCCCGAGGTGAGAAGCCAGAGTGGGAAGCTGGCCGAGAGGCCCCCATCTACCTCTTTCTGGGTGGAAAAGATGCTCTTTGGAACCTGCAGCTTGAGTGCCGAAACCCAGCTCAGGGCCGGCCGGGCCGCGTGCCTTGGCTCCCGCCCCCTGGCCGGAGCCAAGGTTGTACAGGCCTGTCTGGGGGGAGTGGGGACGCCCGAAGCCCCAGCGGCAAGCCCGCCGCCTGATTGTGCCTTCCTTTCCCCTATCCGGCTGCTCTAGGTCTGGTTCCAAAACCGCCGGGCCAAGTGGAGGAAGAAGGAGAACACGAAGAAGGGCCCGGGGCGGCCGGCTCACAACTCACACCCGACCACGTGCAGTGGCGAGCCAATGGACCCAGAGGAGATCGCGCGCAAAGAACTGGAGAAGATGGAGAAAAAGAAGCGCAAGCATGAGAAGAAGCTGCTGAAGAGCCAGAGCCGCCACCTGCACTCGCCCGGCGGCTTGTCCCTGCACAGCGCACCCAGCTCCGACAGCGACAGCGGCGGCGGCGGCCTCTCCCCGGAGCCGCCCGAGCCGCCGCCGCCGGCCGCCGCGTCCAAGGGCCCTAGCGCGCACGCCGCCGGCGCCGCCGGTTCCGCGCCCGCACCGCCGGGCGAACCGCCCGCTCCCGGCACCTGCGACCCCGCCTTTTACCCGAGCCAAAGAAGCGGCGCCGGCCCGCAGCTGCGGCTAGGCCGCCCCGCGGACAAGGATGCGGCCCCGTGTGCGCCCGGGGCGGCGGTGGAACGTGGCGCCGCCGGCCTGCCGAAGGCCAGCCCGTTCAGCGTGGAGAGCCTGCTGTCCGACTCGCCGCCGCGCCGGAAAGCCGCCCCCGCCAACGCCGCGGCCGCCGCCGCCGCGGCCGCGGCCGCCGGGCTGGACTTCGCGCCGGGGCTGTCGTGCACGCCGCGGACCCTCATTGGCAAGGGCCACTTCCTGCTCTACCCCATCACGCAGCCGCTCGGCTTCCTGGTGCCGCAGGCCGCGCTCAAGGGTGCAGCGGGTCCGGAGCCCGCGCCGAAGGACGCGCCGCCCGCACCCGCCGCGCCGCCCGCGCCGCCCGCTCAGGCCAGCTTCGGGGCCTTCCCGGGGCCCGGCGGTGCTCCGGACTCGGCCTTCGCGCGCCGCAGCCCCGACGCCGTCGCCTCCCCGGGGGCCCCGACCCCGGCGCCCTTCCGGGACGCGGCCCTGGCTGCGGCCGAGGGCGGCGGCGGGGATTGCGCGGATTCGGGGGCCGCCTGCCCAGCGGCCGCACTGCCGCCCCCTCTCGCGCCGTCGCCCGGGCCGGGCCCGCGGGCTCCCAGCCCCGCCGGGGAGCCGGCTTTGTGCGGGGCCCCAGAGCCAGGCGCCGAGCCCGGACCCAGCGCGCCGGACGGCGAGGAGGTGGACATGGACTGAGGGGCGGCGGGGCCGAGAGAGGCGCTCAGCCGGCCCGCGCCCGCTCGCTCAGGCTCGACTCACACAACGAAATCAGGTGATCGGCTTAGAAACACTGCTTTCTCCTTTTTCTTCTGCTTTCTTCCTTTTATTATTATTATTATTTTTTTTTAAGAAAACCGCTGTATCAATTCGGACCTAGGCAGCAACCGCAGGACTTGGGGTGAGACCCTCCTCCTCTCGGGGGAGCAAAAAACAAAAACCCCATTTCCCCCACAAAAACCCACAACAAGAATCCTCAGCCTTGTAAAATGCAAAAATGTCTAAGAATATTTATATATGTACCATTTTTGATAAATAAAGCTGGTC